GGAGGGACCCCCAGGCTCCGTGTGGGGAGGAGGGACCCCCAGGCTCCATGGGGGGTGGGTGTGGGGAGGCTCCTGTCTGTTCCCTGCGGGGCCTCTGTCCTCTTGAGCTGCAGATATGGGTCTGAGCGTCTGTGCAAGGCAGTGGCTGTGATGACTCAGGAAGTGGCCCCTGTGCCTACCCTGGGGTCTGCAGGTGACCTGAAGGCCTGGAGTGAGAGGAACAGGGCATCCAGCAGGGACGCGGTGGCCTCCACAGCTGTGCTGGCCCTGGGAGACCGCTGGGCTCCCATGCTATAGCCTCAAGCCCGGCTGTACCTCATAGCAGGGTTTCTGTTCTGATTCATTACATTTGTTTCTGATCCTACCTTTGTTCCCTGCCTCTGGTTGAACGGGGGACGTTGATTCTCCCGTGAGCCGTGTTTCCTGTGCCCGGTACTGAGGTGGTGCTGGCCGGTTGGTTTGTTTGCAGAATGCTTCTGCTTTTTGAATTGGCTCGTTTTTCCCTGACCTTGAAGTGCACGGAGATCTCCTCTGACTGCCTCTCAGACCTGAAGAAGATGGAAAGCGCGGTAAGTGGCTTCGTGACACAGCTGGCGGGGGTGCAGGGGGTGCTCACCATGCGTCTGGACGAAAAGCGGAGGAAAGGAGAAGCAGGCACAGCTGTGGCCGCAGAGCCTCCGTCGGTAGGGTCGGCTCACTGCCGTCTTTCTTACCTGCGTTTTGCACGGCTGCGGTTAGATGATTTTTGCAATTTTGCACCACAGTTGTTTCTAGAGCCCACTCTGCGGGTGGCATAAACTCTCCTGATGCTAGTGACCCTAGCCCTCCACCAGTCCCATCACTGGACGTGCAGACCTCGTTGGCAGGGCCTCGCGTCCCACGGCACGGCCTCATGTGCTGCAGCTTGTTACCCGCGGGCACCGACAGTATGAAAATGCTCAGGTCTTCTGACAGACAGGCCACGTCCACGTCACATTTATGGCCGTGGGTGTTGTGACTGTATTTTATTATTAGTCGTTGTAAATATCTTACTGTGGCTAACTGATGAACTGAACTTTGTCCCAGGGATTCACGTAGACAGAAGCCGCACCGTACGTCGGGTTTCAGGCCTCCCCTGGGTTGGGGGTCTTGGAAGGCATCCTCTCAGAGAAGGCCGGGCTGCCGTGTCATTTTTTGCTTATTACGTAAAGGGCTGCAGTGAACACGTTGTGCCTAAAACATTTTTCTGCGTTTAGGATTTTTCCCTAAGCTGAGCATATCTACACGAAATGACTAGGGAATTTTCACTTTTAATATTTTGAGAGTACATGTTACAGTACTGCCCTCTAGAAAAAGCTTCACACGAGCAAAAGTATGTAAGACTGCACACATCAAGTGTACTGTATCTTGAGGGAACCGTGACGGGGCTCTTTCACAGGGCAGGGCTTGAGCACCGTGCGCCACGCTGAGTGTCGATTTACACACGGAGCGTGCAGAGGGGGACCCTCAGATCCACGCCGCGTGCTGGGGCCGCCCTCGTGGTGTCCTCCTTGAGTGGCTGCTGTGTGCTTCGCCCCAGGTTACGTAAGAGTAAATGCAAACAAAACCATCGGCAGCGCGGGAGACACGCCATGGCTCAGCACGGGGAAGGGTGCGGGGAGCCAGCCAGTCACACTGAGGGCTGCGCTGATCTGGAGATGGTTGCTAAGAGTAAATACAAATAAAGCCATCAGTGGTGCAGAAGACACTGCCAGGGCTCAGCTCGGTGGGGAGCCGGCCGGTATCACTGAGGGCTGCGCTGATCTGGAGATGGTTTTGGAAAAGGAAGTGAGTTCCTGTGCCCTTGACAGGCAGCCCTTGGAGGGACCGCACAGGTGGCGGAGGGCAGAGTGCAGGCGGGAAGCGTGGTCAAGGCTGGAAACAGCAGGCCACGTAGCACGGAGGATGGGAGCAGTGTGGGAGGCGCTCCTGTGTTTGACGCCCTTTACTGGGTTCTGTGGACCCCATTTCCATCTTCTGGCTTTCCGTGGCACAGTGGCCCCAACTTAGAATGACTGTGGGGCACCTGGGTCCAGCCCTACTGCCTCCTTCCTTCAGCTTCCTGAGCCTCGGGATTTGTCCCTGTAAAATGGCAGCGTAACAGGACCCATCTGCAAGGGCCACTGTGGAGTGGAAAGCAATGTTTTGTGCATCCCAGGTCGAGGCTCCTGGGCAGGTGCCTGCAGCCGTGGAGCTGCTGATAGAGAGACTCCTGTGGCCCAGCTCTGCCCCCACCACCTGTGGCCCCTGCAGAGCATGACCCCATGTTGAGGACACTCTCCTGGCCCTTTGCCCAGTCGGCCTCTGCCCGTCCATCCCTCAGGCCCCAGCCCTCCTGTTACCTCTTGGCTAACCGCTAGTCAAAAGTGACCTCCACTGGAAGCTCATTATCCCTGCCAGCCTCCCATTAGGCATTTAGGATCTCATGAGATTGATTTTGTAAAATCTCATCGATGTTGAGGATATGAGTGGTTTTTAATTTTGAAGCCTTGATGCATTTTTGAAGACTAGCCCCTTCCAATGTTTCACAATTGCCTGAGCAAATGGTGGAAATGGTTTCACCGGGCAGACGCCCTGACCTGTGGGATCGCGTGAAGAGCTTTCAGATCCAGGAGATCCGTGACCACGTGGGAAGCATGGAGCTCTTTTTCCGACCTCCGTGAAGCCGGGCACAGCTTCCTCAGCAGCATGGGGGTTGGCAGCCGGTGGACAGGCCGGGGGACACAGCCCAGGATGGCAGCCTCTTGTGCTCTCCATGCTGGCTGGCGCCGAGCCCCAGACGGGCAGGACCCTGGTGCAGCCATCCCCAGTGCTGTGGGCGTGGCTCGGTCCTCGCGGACGTCTGCTGCTGAGGACCTGCTCGTCGGGACGGAGGCGTCTGTGCTGTGAAGATGCTGCTCCGTCAGCGACTGAGCTCACAGACCAGAAGACCTGCACCCCTCGAGCCCCAGCGGGTTTAGGGCCAAAGTAACCTTACAGAAGCTCCCAGCAGGTCCGTTCTCCAGGCTTCAGTGCGGCCCGGGGCCACCAAGCAGCCTGGCCGAGGCCTGGGTACCAGGTGTTGGGGGACGGGATGAGGCCCCTGAAAAGGGAAAATTGGGGCCTTCCCTGTCACTCTCGGCTGGTGGGGCCTGCAGACAGGCGAGGAGTTGGCATAGCTGAAAACGCTTGGCGTCCTCACTTCTACCTCTGCGCCGCAGGCGCCTTCCTGCCATCCCTTGATTGTGTTACACTTGTACCCAGTTGTATTTTAAATGGCCCTTGAAGTTAATGAATGTGCATGGCAGCTTCCCTTCCAAATCACTTATCTTTTCAAAAACCGTTTGTATCTGCAGGATCCCGGGAAGCTGATTGAAATTGAGTGTCTGGAGTGTGAATCCGAAGCCTTAAGACTTGAGAGTAAAATGAAAGTGTACCTCCGAGCAGCTGTTGAGGTGGGTCCTCACGCAGGAGCCGCACGCCTGGCACTGTTTTGCAGATTCCTGGAACCTGGTGCCAGTTGAGTTTGTGCCAGGTTTGAGGATGCCGGGGACATGGCCTGGACCCCACTCCTGGACGCACCCTGGCTCCCATGACAGCCGGTGTGAGTCCACCCTCCAGTGCCACAATCCTTTCCTACTCACGGGGCCCACATACCTCCCTGGTGGTTTGGGGTCGTGCAGGTGGAGTGTGACTCCCTCCAGCCCTCCTCCTGCCGCCCCTGCAGCGCTGCCCCCTCCCCCTTTGTGTGGTGACGCCAGCCTGGGAGAACGGGGTTGCATCCCCACAAGGGCTTCTGCCAGCCTCACTTGAGCCTGGGAAAGTGTCCTAATGGTGAGGGGACAGAAGTCACTGCTGGCCCTGGCGTTGGCTGCCAATGACAGGCACGTGAGCCTGACCCACCTCCGTGCTGCTGTCTGAGATGACTGGCTCTGGAACAGCCGCCACTGCCAGGAAGGGAACGGGGAATTATTTCAGACTCTTCCTCAGTAAGAATTTCCCTATTAAAACATGAAGAAAAACCTGACAGATGGTGTCACACAGCCCTGACGTGCTGCCACAGCGAGCACTGCGGGGGTCGGCCCAGGAGCCCTCGGGCCCCGTCAGCCAGGCCGTGCGAGGGGCACTGAGCAGCCGGGGGTGTGATGGTCAGTGCTGGAGGTGCCGTGGCGGGGGATGAACAGGGTGGCCAGGAGGGCTTCCCTGCCCCCACAGCTTATGTACCCATCCTCAGCCTGTGCTGCCAGGCCTGTGTGTCTCGGCCCGGTGGGTGCTGACGCTCTTGTAGACTTGCTCCTTGGGTCCCTCCGCAGGGCTGAGCATCTTGAGGGAGGTTTTAGACTGCTGCTGTGCGCCGGTGCTGTGCGTGTGGCAGGCATTTAACGAGTGTTCGTTTAAGGAATGATTTCCAGGCGACGCTTTGGCTGCTGCGCCTTGTCTGAAAGTGCGGAGAGGCTGCCGTGGCGGTGGCACTGTGGGCTTGTCTGAAGGTGCACAGAGGATGCTGTGGCTGCGGCTTTGTGGGCTGTCTGAAAATGAGCAGAGGCTGCCGTGGCTGTGGCACTGTGGGCTTGTCCGAAGGTGCGCAGAGGCTGCCGTGGCGGCGGCACTGTGGCGTTGTCCGAAGGTGCGCAGAGGCTGCTGTGGCGGCGGCACTGTGGGCCTGTTCGAAGGTGAGCAGAGGCTGCCGTGGCGGCGGCACCGTGGGCTTGTCTGAAGGTGCACAGAGGCTGCTGTGGCTGCGGCTTTGTGGGCTTGTCTGAAAATGAGCAGAGGCTGCCGTGGCTGTGGCACTGTGAGCTTGTCCGAAGGTACGCAGAGGCTGCCGTGGCGGCGGCACTGTGGGCTTGTCTGAAGGTGGTCAGGGGCTGCCATGGCTGTGGCCCCGTGGGCTTGTTCAAAGGTGTGCAGAGGCTGCCGTGGCGGTGGCACTGTGGGCTTGTCTGAAGGTGGTCAGGGGCTGCCGTGGCGGCAGCACTGTGGGCTTGTCTGAAGGTGGTCAGGGGCTGCCATGGCTGCGGCACTGTGGGCTTGTTCAAAGGTGCGCAGAGGCTGCCGTGGCGGTGGCACTGTGGGCTTGTCTGAAGGTGGTCAGGGGCTGCCGTGGCGGCAGCACTGTGGGCTTGTCTGAAGGTGCGTAGGGGCTGCCGTGGCGGTGGCACTGTGGGCTTGTCCTAAGGTGCGCAGGGGCTGCCGTGGCTGCAGCACTGTGGGCTTGTTCAAAGGTGCGCAGGGGCTGCCATGGCTGCAGCACTGTGGGCTTGTCTGAAAATGAGCAGAGACTGCCGAAGGTCACAGAGGGTGCCGTGGCGGCGGCACTGTGGGCCTGTCCGAAAGTGGGCAGAGGCTGCCGTGGCTGCGGCACTGTGGGCTTGTCTGAAGGTGTGCGAGGCTGCTGTGGCTGCGGCACTGTGGGCTGCACGGCTCCTCTCCCACCTCAACTGCTGAGGGTCTCAGATGGCCGGCCCTGGCGTGCGAGGCTTTGCGACCCAGCAGCCAAGTGGCAGGATGGGGTTGTGAGTTGCAGGCTCCACCTCAGCCTGGGGCAGCGTGAGGGCGAGGCCCCCGTGGCAGCCACAGGCTGTGGGGACATGGCCAAGTGAGCACAGGACAGACAGGCGGCCCAGCGGGGCTTGCGGGAGGCGGGAGCGTGAGTGAGGAGACTGGTTCCGCTGTCCTGAAATCCCAGCCTGAGCCTTTGTGCCGGGAAAGGCGTGTGTAGCACAGACCGTTGCTGGGAGGGTGGGAAGCCTATCGCGCAGAGGCCACAAGAAAGAGGCGAGGTTGGGAAGGGACCAGGAAGGGAGCAGTCCCCGCCGACCCCACCCAAGGAACATGGACGCAGCCGCAATGTGCAGGCACCACCGAGCCTCCTGTGTGTAATACCTTGTGAGACGCCCACGTCCTCCTAGAAAGGGTCACTCTGGCTGTTTTCACAGACAGACTCGGGCACGGCCCCACGCAGGGTGATGGATTTAGGGCCTGAGTTCTCAGCCTGCCCTGGCTGCATGTGCTGCCCCAACCCCGCAGCTCGAGGCAGCAACGTCCGCAGAGTCACCCATGTCCTCTCCGCAGACCCAGCTGGATATCATACAGAGACTGGATGTCACGCTGCAGCGAGCTGTCCGCCTGGGCGACCCCCAGGTCATCCATGTGGTGTGCACCACGCAATGGAACACCTGCCTGCCCCTGCTGCAGCACAACCTGCGGCACCACCTGAGGAAGCCACTGGCCAACGTCGCGGAGGTGCTGGAGAAGGTGGACAGGTGGGGGCGCCTGCGCTGTGTTGTCTGCAGAGTGTGGCCTGTGGGAGGAAATGGCGGAGGAGGAGGAGAAGGTGGTCCAAGCCCCCTTGCCATGACAGTGCCACAAGCGGCAAACTCCCCCCATACTCAATGAGGGCCACCCCCTGTTCCTGCTCGTGGCCAGGCATGCCGAGTCCTCTGGTGCATTGGTGGGGCCAGAGGAACAAGCAGGCTCAGCCATACCTCACGGTGTCTGTGCCCCTGAAGCCTCCATGCAAGGGGGTCTGTCTTGGCCACAGAGGCCAGGAGTGGGGGCTGGTTGTGGCTCTGTGGGACTTGGGCCGTCCTGGTTGAGATGGGAGTGCTCAGAAGGCCCACCATATGGGAGGAGCGTGGTGTGGCCTCAGGAGTGACAGGAACACAGGGGCCAGCGTGGCGGCAGGTGTCAGGCATCAGGGTGGGCCATGGCGGGCAGGAGGCAGGTGCCGAGGGTGGGAGGCAAGGGCAGGCAGAGAGACACGGTCCTAGGTGAGACATTCCTGGCTGAGAGCCCTGGGATATCCCATGAGAGGAAGGAGAGGAGGAAGGGCGAGGTCACTGAGGGGACGTGGGTTCCTGGCCAGGGAAGTGGAGGGGCTGCTGTGGGTGGGGCTGGCACAGGAGGAGAGCAGGGATGGGGGGAGCAGAGGAGGGAGAGTGTGTGGAGGGAGGGGTTACCCAGGAGAGTGGGGGTGTCCGCTGTGGGAAGAGGCCGTGGGTGCATCCACGGCCACCTTCAGCAGCTCTGACAAATCAGAGGCTGGGCTTGGTCAGTCCTTCGGAGACGGGCGAGCTGGGCTTTCCTGCTGGGCACCTGTGGATCCCGTTCTGCACCGAGAGTCACAGCTCTCCCCGCATCGGGGGAGCGTTACAATCTAAAGCCAGATTTCTTCCTGCCTGCCCTCTTCAGTTTCTCCTCTGGAATTCCACTCGAGTGTGGGGCCCACTGCTGTGCGCCCTTCACCCTCCTCACGCGGCTTCCTCCCTCTTCACCCTCCTCGCGCGGCTTCCTCCCTCTCCTGGACCCTCTTTCTCTGCCTCTCCGTCCGTCCTGTGTTCCTCTGTCTCCGTCTCCCCCGGCCCAATCCATCTCTCTTCCAAGCGCATTCCAAGGACACCTGGAAGACTGGCGCCTGCCGGGATGGGAAGTGGGGCCAGGCGGGCTTCACTCCCCTCTCCTTTCCTGCCTTTGGGATTCTCCTGAGATGGATGGAGCCGAGTCCTTAGCAAGGAGACACGGGTTCCAACCTGCCTCTGTGGCGCCACATGGCATGTAGCTGGCCCTGAAAGAAATACAAGAATTTTACCCCAAAATATGTTCCTTTGACATAGTTTGGAGTGGCCCAGCCAAGCCACTTTTCGTGGGGAAATCTACGTCTGTGGAGAATCCGCTTCCCTCCCAGGCCGTTCCCAATCCCGCCGTCTGACACCGTCTCAGGTCTGCCTGCACCATCGCCCAAAGCCTCCGCCTGAGGCCTTCACACACAGAACAAGAACCCTGACCCCACCACCCACCTTATCCGAACCCGAACATTTCCTTCTGCCGGCCTCAACTCTTTAGATAATAACTCAACCAGTCGCCAGTAGGAAATGTTCGAATCCACCTGTGACGTGGAAGCAACCCCAGCGCCTGCAAGTTTTCCTGCCTTTCCTGACCCAAGCAGTGGACACGTCACAGGCAGTGATTGATGTCTGCTGCCTCCCTGCAGCTGTGCCCGCCTCCCCTGCACACGTGTTCTGAGGACCTCCCGAGGCTGTGTCACGGCCAGGGTCCTCACTTGGCTCGGAAGACGTGACTTCAGAGAGACCGTTTACAGACTGGGGCTTCCGTCGCGCCCTTTCCCTTTCTCCCTCTGAATGGAGCCGCCAGGATGCTCTTGCAGGTCCCAGCAGGTTTCCCCCTGCTGTGCTTTTTATCTCAGATTCTCTTTCTTAGACTCTTTAATGACTGTTTCTCATTTCCAAAGTACCCTGTTAGCTTATGTGTATATTTTCCTGATTTTAAAAAATAACTCCTGCTAGTGAAATGGCTCCGCAGTCTGGGGTATGTACATACCCTGTGGTTTGTTGTCTTGTGCTGAGAAAGAATTCAGGACGCAGACACCTGTGGGCAGCCGTTTTCGGTTTGGCCGTGCTCATCGGCCCACTGGCATTTCAACGTAGATTTTTTAAATGCTCCTCGTGGCTCGTGATGAGCGTCTTTTATGAGGTTATCAGCCTGTATTTTATGAAGTGTCTTTTCAACAGTTTTAATCGTTTAAGAGCCGTGTAGTTGTCTTTCTGTTCCGGAGGCACTGGAGCTCTTCGTGTACGCCTGACACAGATCTTTGTCTGATGTGTGTGTTACGAGTATTTCCCCGAGCTACAGTTCGCTCTCTCTTTTTCTGAACAATGTCTTTCGAAGGCAAAGAGGTCTCTTGGCAGATGGGGCCACATTTGCAAATGCCTCAGTAACAGGGTTATTGAATTTTGTGTCCTGCCCAGGAATTACTTACCTTTTGTAAAAGCTACAGATTTCTGTTTTCCTGTGCTTAGCAGTTCTTACACGGGCTTCAGGGCCCTTTTACACTCTGAAAAGTCATTGGCAGCTGGGCGCAGTGGCTCATGCCTGCAATCCCAACTCTGGGAGGCTGAGGCAGGAGGCTCGACTCACCTGAGCCCAGGAGCTGGAGAGCACCCTGGACAGCAAAGCGAGATCCCACCGCTGTCGTTTAAAAGTAAGAAAAGCACGGAGGACCCTGAAGAGCTTTGACTTGATAGATTAGATTGATTGATATTTATTGTGTTAGACATCAAAGTAGAGAAAATATTAGACAAGAACGCACAAGCACACGTTTCTGTAGCATTGTAGCCATGACATGGTGTGTCATGAAGCCTCTGGAACATTCTTTTACATGTATTTGTGAGAAAATGGGAGTGGACATAGGAAACCGTGTCTTAGGACTGTTTTGAAATAGTTTAACCTTGCGGACCCACTGAAAGGGTCTTAGAGACCCCCAGAGTCCCGGGCACGCGTTGAGAGCTGCTCTTCTAGTTTCTAGTTTTTGTTTTTGCGTTCACTTCAGCAGTCCACTGAGGGTGAAGTTTGGTGTATGGTGCCGGGGGCGGGGGAGGGTGAGCCTCACTTTTTTTCCGTCCAGATCTTCCCCTTGTTTCAGAACCATTTGTCAAAAGTACATCCTTTCCCTCGGAGTCGCGTTGGCAGCTCTGTTGGGCGTCAGCTGAGCTGCCGTCTCTGACGCGCTCTGCACGTTGGTCTGTCTGAGGTGAGCTTGCACCGAGCTCCCCAGTCCCTGTGGATCTGTCGTGACTTTTGACATGAGCAGTGCAAGCCTTCCAGCGTTCTCTTGGAAGGCTGTTTTGGTTATCCTAGGGCCTGCGTGTTTCCATGAAACTTTCAGGAAGTGGCTTGCCAATTGCTAGTGCGGTGGGTGGGGAGGTACCCGTGTGATGGGAATTATACTGAATCTGCAACCGAGCTTTGGGAGAAACGGCAGCACTGAGTCTTTCCGCCCCGGTGCCGGCCCCGCTCTGATGGCACGGGTCCCTGATTTCTCTCAGCAGAGGCCGTGCCTGTGTCCATCAAACTCACTCCCAGGTGTGGTGTGGCTCTTGATGCAATTGTCCACAGTATTGTTTTTCTACACTTAAGTTTCTCATGGTTTGTTATATTTAGAAATAGAGTTGATGTTTGTTTATTGACCTTACGTTCTGCGAGGCCAAACCCGCTTATGAAAGGTGCCTTATGGCTTTCAGGGCACACATCTACGCCACCTGCCTGATGTCTCTTTTTCTTGCCTCTGGCGTTGCCTGGGACCTGCCAGAGGGACTTGGAAGCTGCTGCAGCTAAGCACTGCCCGCTGGGCCCAGTGGGGAGGGCCCGGCCCGGCCTCCTCGTCGAGGGCGTGTGCGCCGGTGTGACTGGCTCCCATCGTAGCAGGAGGGCATCCCTGCTTTCCTAGCATTTGGACTTTTTTTTTAAACTCATGAATGGGGACTAAATGTCAAGTGTTTCTGTGTGTCTGTTACGACAGTCACGTGCCTTCCTGTGTGTCCGTTACAATGGTCACGTGTCTTCCTGTATGTCTGTTACGACAGTCATGTGTCTGCCTGTGTGTGTTACGATGGTCACGTCTTCCTGTGTGACTGTTAGGATGGTCACGTGTCTTCCTATGTATCTGTTACGATGGTCACATGTCTTCCTGTGTGTGTTACCATGGTCATGTGCCCTCCTGTGTGTGTTACCATGGTCACGTGCCCTTCTGTGTGTCCATTATGGCGGTCACGTGCCCTCCTGTGTGTGTTACCGCAGTCACATGCCCTCCTATGTGTCCGTTACGGCAGTCACGTGCCCTCCTGTGTGTGTTACCACGGTCATGTGCCCTCCTGTGTGTCCGTTACGGTGGTCACGTGCCCTCCTGTGTGTGTTACCACGGTCACATGCCCTCCTATGTGTCAGTTACGGTGGTCACGTGCCCTCCTGTGTGTCCGTTATGGCTGTCACATGCCCCCCTGTGTGTCCCTTACAGCAGTCACCTGCCCTCCTGTGTGTGTTACCACAGTCATATGCCCTCCCGCGTGTCCCTCACGGCGGTCGCGTGCCCTCCCGCGTGTCCCTCACGGCGGTCGCGTGCCCTCCCGCGTGTCCCTCACGGCGGTCGCGTGCCTTCTTCCCCGTTGTTCTTGACGAATGACACGGATTGAGTCTGAACACTGACCCAGCCTTGTGTTTCTGGCGTCGTGCGACCAGCTTTGGTCCCTTGTTTTGTTAGGACTTCTGCAGGTGTGTCCACGAAGTCACCGGCCCGCGTTTGCTGCTTTTGTGATGTCTTCGTCAGGTTTTGACATCAAGGTTGGGTTGACTTTATGAAATGCGTTGGGAAGTGTTTTTCTAAAATTCTTTGCTTTCTGAAGAAATTAATGTCATACCTGTAATTTTTTTCTTTAAACGTTTGATAGAGCTCAGCAATGAAGCCACCGGGGCCTGGGAAACTGTCTTGTTCTGCTAGTTTCTGTGGAAAGGTTTTCAGGACTGAGGGACTCGCTGAGACTCAAGCTGGAAGCTCAGGAACTCAGGCCGTCAGCCAGAAGAATAAGCACCTCGCTCTTGGGGGCCCCCAGGGCCACCCCGCACTCCGGGCTCCCGAGGACGCTGTGGTCCGGACCTCATCCTCTCTCCTGGCGGTGTGGTCTGACAGGGCAGTGAAAACTCCCTGCGGCTGTGGGGGCCTGTCCCCCCTGAGGCTCTGCCAGCCTGGGGGCCTCTCCCCCCTGAGGCTCTGCCAGCCTGGGGGCCTCTCCCCCCTGAGGCTCTGCCAGCCTGGGGGCCTCTCCCCCCTGAGGCTCTGCCAGCCTGGGGGCCTGTCCTCCCTGAGGCTCTGCCAGCCTGGGGGCCTGTCCTCCCTGAGGCTCTGCCAGCCTGGCTGGCTGTGCCGGGGTGGGTTTTGTTTCATCTCCCTCTACGTTCCTGTCTCTCTCGCGCTCCGCCTCGAAGTCCATCAGCTGTTCCTAGTGCAGCCTGCCGCCGCGCCCCACGGCCCACCCAGCCTGCGGCCTCTGCGGGCCTTCTTCCTCGCACTCCGCCTCTTTAGATGTGCAGTGTAAAGTCATTTTTAAGTGAGTGTCTTTTAGACAGGGCCTGGCTGAGTCTTGCTGTCTTGCTTATTAGAATGCTCTCTTTCCGGCGGGGGCTCATCCTCTTCGTTGCCGTCAGGACCTGCTGACTCTGAGTCCACCGGCCCAGTCCCGACTCCGTCTGCCGCCTCCCTGCACCGCCAGCGCTCCTGCCCACCTTCTCGGGGGCTCCCTGAATTTCCTAGAATTCTATTTCGTCTCCACTGCTGGCTTCTTGGTTTCTCGACTGTACCTTTTGAAGGAATGGGGACGTCTCTAGGACCAAGAGCAGGCACCCTTAACTTAGCATCGTCTGTGTCAAGCCAGCATCACGCTAGCTTACTTCACAGAGATACACGCCGTAAAACACGGTGACCACACCCCTCACACCCCTGCGGGGCCGTCCTTCGACTTCCCACAGCACAGTGTGAACCTCAGACCCCAGCGCGGCTGTGTTGAGAACTGCTTCTCAAGCCTGGCTTGACAGTTGTACCGTTCACAGGCAGCCTGCGCAAGGCCGGGGGTCCGGGCTCCCCACACGGGCGTTTCTGGCTGCTCTGCACGGCCCCGCCTCTCCAGAGCAAGCCTCCTTCAAAGCCCTGCACCCCAACCCCTGCTGCCTTGGCCTGTGGGAATCACAGCCCGCACTGAGGAAGTTGTCCCCAGGTAGACAGCCAGGCAGCCTTGGGCCAGCGCCTGGGTTTTCTTCTCCCAGGGGCTGCCGTCACAAGCAGGGGAGGTGAGTGGGAGGCCTCCGGGGTCTGCAGGGTCCCCTCTTCTTGTCCCCATTTGTGAATCCCCAGGGCCAGGCAGGGACGTCACTGGATGGACGGCGGAAAGCTGGGCACCAGGCACCAAGCCCGCCCTCTCCAGGCCTCCTCCTGGGGATGTGACCCCAGCCCTTCCAGGCCCCTGATGCCACGCCACCCCCACAGCCTCATGACGCTGCTCCGCTGCCAAGTACACATGGAGATGGCGCAGATTGAGGAGGACGAGGACCGGCTGGAGCCCGCCATGGAGCACCTGCGGAAAGCCACGCACCTAGATAGCCTGGGCCTCTACCAGGACCGGCTCCGGATGGCCTCCAACCGGCTGCACCTGTGCACCACGCTATACCAGGCCCCCGAGCACGCCGAGGACAAGGCCATCATGGCCATCGAGCAGGTGCTGCCTGGGAGGCGGGGGAGGCCAGGTGCTGCAGCCCTAGTGTGGGGCCCAGGCTGGGCACTGAGGGGATGGGCACAGCAGAGTGGAAGCTGCCCAGGGCCGCCTGGAGCAAGGAGGCCTGGGACCGAGCTGTCCCTGCTTCTGTGGGCACGAGGCCCACACAGTCCCCTGCCAAAGGCCAGGAGGCTCCAGAAGTGGGAGAAGGTGCTGCAGAAGGCCCAGCGGCCCCTCTCTCATCAGTCTCTGCTTTTCACAGGCAAAAAAAGCTACCCTGAAGGACAGTGTCAGGAAGAAGCGGGCCCTCCTGGTGAACGCAGGCCTGGCCTTAGCCCCCGACACCTTTCAGATCGTGCTGGACAGTGAGAATGAGGCCAAAGGTGAGCGCCACCCTGGGCTCCCCAGCCTGGAACTGTCCACCTTGGAGTGGCTTCGAGGCTGCCCCAGGGCCTCCCTGGTTCCCATGCCGCCCTGCCATGGCCCCTGGATGTACAGGGACCATGCCGTGTCCCATGAAGTTCAGGCCATCCACAGGCGGCGTCCTCCGACCTCGGCCCGCTGGGTCTGGCAAGGCCCAGGGAGGGTCTCCACGGCCGTGGCTGGTGCCTGGCTGCTGGGACGGAGTCCACAGGCTCCACCTCTAAGACAACAGGAGCTTCCTCCTCCCAGCCCCAGGCTGGACATCAAAGCTTGGGCAGGGCTGCTCCTCCTGAGGGCTTTCTCCTTGGCTCATGGATGCCTTCTCCCTGCATCCTCACTGGGCTGCCCTGCATTTTCCTTTCAATCCTCAGTGTCCACTGGGAAGAACAGGGGCCGGTTCACCTACCTTTGCTCAAAGGCACGGCACCACATTGTCAGCGTGGACAAAGCTGCCGGGCACCTGCGGCGCCTGGGCTATGAAAACGACAAGGAGAGGTGAGTGGGGGGGAGGTGAGGGCGGGAGAGGCGAGGGGGGGAGGTG